TATTTACGACCATTCGCAATAAATATGATACAGTTTATACTGATTTTTGACAGTAAGATACAGATTAAAAAGATTTTTTACGGTGAAAATACAGATTGAAAATGGAAATAATATGGCAACAATATATTGAATTGATATGTTCTACAAAGTGTTCAGAACCATAAAAATACGCAATTTTTTCTCATGCCAGTAATATTGTAAATCGCTTCATTTGCTTTGTAAAGCAATTTTAAAGCAAAATGTTGCAAATTTCTCTGAAAATGGCAAATTCTGGCAGCCATTTTTTGTAAGAAAAACTTATTTTCCTAAAAAGTGCCCATCTCGCGATGTATGAACGGTTGGTAGTAAATGTAATGACCTACACACTTAGAAATAACTAATTTTACAAGTGACGTAATCCATCCCAAGTAACATGGCAGGTTTTATTGCGGTTTTATAGCATTCTAAAAGTCTAAATCATGGTCTACAGAACCCTCATAAAACCAAAAAATTTACTTGGGATCTTCGACATAAAAGATGAGACGTAAACAAACATGTCATGTAATATTAGGTGCTTCGAGACTGAAAAGTTCGTTGCTCGATGAAAAGTACGTTTTATTAGGCTAAACTTCGCGTCTGTTATGACGCAAATTTTGGTCAAAATTGACGCTCGTATATGTCACTCTCAGAGCACCTAAATTTACATGAGTTTTTCTAAGTGTGTATTTTGAGGGAAAATTTCATCCAAATCAAACATGGCCATTTCGTTTATATCTACTTTAAATTTACTACTGTGCTGAGTGACTTACCCGTTGGTTTAAATAGGGTCTTTGACGTAGACTACGTCTTACGGGAAGGTACTGGGGGTAAATCGAAAATCTAAAATTGGACCGTCACGATAAGATAACATTTGGTTGTACATCGTGATGCTTGAATCTGAAAAGTTATAAAAATTCGCTGCTAATGTGCCTCAACTCATTTTGGCTTCGGACAACGGGTAAGCAGGTAGCAGCAGCAGTAGAAGTAGCAGTAGCAGTAGTAGAAAGGCGGTTCCTGTCAAGCGCGCAGCGTTCGAGTTTTGCGGCTCAAACTTTGCGGGTCGTTCCCATCGAGATCATTGGCTGCTGGTAGCAGCGTCGCCTCGAAGGTGCAAGCGTTCCTTGCCTGAATAATAACTACAAATCTTGGTTACTTTTTCGAAAGGACATATCAGCTTTTGTAAACAACGCATTTTATCGTTGGTTTGGCATAACTGATAGCTCCCCAGCTCCCCACATACTAACACCACTATATCAGGTAGGGGAAAATTTCCTCTATCTGATGATAGTATTAGCATGCGTGGGTGAGCTACCAGTAACGCCTAATCGACGATCAAATGCGTTGTTTACAAAAACTGATACATCCCTTCGAAAAAGTAATCGAGAAACACTTCTTGGGCTGTGTACCAATTTCCGAGTCAAATTTAACTCGTGGTTAAACGTGACATTTCGAACGTTCAAAAATGCCGGAAATTGATCAGTTTTAGCAAGGTTATTCGATAAACGGAACGGGGTGTTTCGGTGGTGATAAAAAGGATTTTTCCTACACAGATTACAGTTTTCTGTACCAAGCACTGAAATTATCAGACGGTTCCTCTATTTATGCTTTTAGATTAGCTATGAAAGTCCCTCCTACTTGGAAAATTATGCTTTTGAACGGTTTATTCAACCCCAGTTTTTTTTGCTGATGGGGCGAGGCATAGCCAGCAGTTTGATTTCATAATTCTTCAAGTAGGAGGGACTTGCAATGCTTATCTCTTAGCATAAATAGAGGTACCGTCGAGTTTATTTTCAGTGCTAGGTTCTGAAATTCGACAGTGAGCGTTCAAAAAGTCCTACTTGTAATGTTCGATTCTCTTCATCGATTTTCTGTTTACAGCTAAGCGAAACAATTCAAGCTAAACATTAAATTAGGTCCTAAGTAACACTGACAAGATTCTCTTCGTCGACTTTCTCCTTGAATCCACTCAGCCCAGGTATTTTCAGCACACATATCGATAAAAGAAGTTTTTATCTAGCATCAAGAAACGATTCTGTGCTCAAGTTATTAAGGTGCTAATGTGCCTGCTGTGTTGGTGATTTTTAACGTAAATTAGACAGTTGGAAAATTTTCAAATAAACCTGCTATTCCAATAGACTTATTTCTTACAGAAAAGGAATCAATTTTGACAGATGTTTTCTCGAAAATCGGCCGATCAACAACAGAGGGATTTTCGACCATCTTAATTTATTTTCGAAGGGTCAAATCTAAGTGAAAATTTTCCAAATGGAACACAGCTTTAGTATTTTTTTTTATTTGTTTAGTCGGTAGATAAATGAGGTACCGAGAACTGTTTGGAGGGATTCATGGCTATTTGATATCATCCCTATCAACTATGAAATGTTGCATAACATTGGTGCAAAATTGTGCACTCCGTTTTTGTGTGTGCATTTATTTTTAGCGTTTTGAAGTTGAATCGCTGAGGAAACCTTATTTCTGATAAATCTCATTACCACATAAAAATTTCAAGAGTACAGATATCAGCTCTCACAAAACTTATAACAAAGAAACTGGAACTTCACGTTTGTTGCAGTCCAGTACACAAGGAGTTTCAATTTCATGAGTGATGTCACAACCGTCCAAGATTGGTGTCTTAGAAATCTTGAAGTCAGCGATCATGACGGTCATTGTTGGACGCTTCAATGAATCACCTGAAGAAAGCCTTACTCATATCTGATTGTAATTTAGGAACCAAATGGAATAGAATATGTATTCGCATTTTTATGAGGTCCTGAATTTAACCAAGTTTTACAAAGTAGGAAATCCAAAATATGTGCTTAGGACCGAAACAATAGGTTACTTCTACTTTATTTTAAATCAATATCTAGAAAATGCACGAAAATTTCACTACACAGCTTAACGTAGTCTACGTCAACCATGCGGTCGTGTCTTGTACACAACCCCACCAACGGCTTTACTTCCCTTCCGAAGGAAGGCGTGATCAGAGATGTTATGCCTCAGCACAACCCGGTGGCGCCGACCCAGGCCTGCTGGGGTGAGAAGTAATCACGCTTACCACTACACCACCAGCACCGCTGAAACAAGGATAAAAGGGTTAAAATCACAGAATTAAAACCAGTAGCAAAATTAAAAGGCGTCAATTTTTCAGCACGATCTATCTATTTCGTTTATTTGTAAGGCTCAATTGCGTTTGCATTACGGAGCCAATAATTCATTGTTCTTTGTTTGTAACAAAATTCACTTAATTCTATGTCTAGTAGGAGTCGGGCTGAATACTCGCGGCTTACCCGAGGTTAGAGAGGCACATTGTCGAAGGATAGGAAAAGGGGAGGAGCTTGAGAGAAGGGTTTCGTTGTCTTATCATGTCACCAGTTTGAACGTGCGGTTCTAGATTCGTCTGGAGGCAGCACGACCTACTTAGATCAAAAAAATGTCACTTGCTTAACATATAGCAAAAAGTAGCTGCCAATTTTTTCAAATCAATTAGTAATGATCTAGCAGAAAATGTTAATGCGAAGATCTTTACAGGTTTTATAAAACGTGATTTAAACATCCATCCATGTAAATTTCTAATTCTTTGCCATTTCATACAATATTTGAAATATTCCATGAAATTACTCATAATTTACCATGATCATTAATGTAAACTTATATTCTATATGACGCTTTAGTTATGTCATTATATCGAACAGAAATTTACACTACTTTTCCAAACAGTGTAGGTATATGTTAAACAAGGGGTCAGATAGTCTTGTCAGTAAAGTCACAGTATTACGAAGCTGAAGGCGGTGGGTTGGATTCCCAGTTCGGGTTCTAAATTTTCTAGTTTCTCCTGGGAGTTGTTGGGTCAATAACATCAGATTACGGGGCTGCTAGTGCTGCGAATACTTTGTTGATTATTCAAGAGCTCTTGATCGCTGGGAATGCTTGTGAACATTTGAAGTGGAAAAAAGGGTGAACAAAGTAAAATGTTCATCAATATTATTTCTTTTGTTCGCTTTATGAGCTTTCTGCTTTCTATTTCTTAGCTTCATTATCTGTCTATTGTAACATATTGGTACTTTTGTATTGGCTTTTTTATTTTGCTTTATGGGCACTGTCTGTTCTAGAATAGAATAGAAAATCTGATATAATGTATCAGCTTGTTCTACAAGCAATGATAGATGTTACGATACTATAATTTAGTATGCTTTGAAGTTTTAAGGATTATCTGAAATGAAGAACTGACAAAATCTGACGGATACCACATTTATTCAGTTTGTAAATCAATTAATTTGCTGAAAAAATATAAATTTAAACAGCTGTTATGCAATAGAAACTTTCTGAAATTGTAGCATACAGTTCTTTTAGTAGAAATAAATTCAGCTCAAAGCAATATGATAAATTCATCCCGATATTTTTGGGGCAACCACATACCCGACTAGAAGAGAATATCACATCAATAGCTAGTTTTACTTTGAAAATTAGGGAACACAATTTAAAAAATGCTATTAGTTTGATTGATATAACACGTAATATATCAAAAATAATATAAAAAATGTATTGAACCAAAACTGAGTAATTGCAAAGTCTGTTGTTGCCATCTCAAGAATCTTAGCAAACTAATATCCCATTTTGCTATCTCATCTATTGGTATATTACTTAAAACCTTATTCTACTATCAGATCAAAATTAGCTTTTGAATTCATGATTCTAGAATATCATAATAATAATAATCTAGCTATTAATTTGTTGCAGCGCACAACCTACCAATAACATAATAAGATAGTGATAGTAAAATTTGCTATTATTTTGCTCTAGCTTTACTACTCTCCTATACCCGGGTATGCAACATTGGAGAATTTCACAGCCTAGATTTATAGAGATATTCACTAGTTAATGTTGACTTTCGATTTTGATCCCAAACCACCACGTACCGTAAACCATTCCCCTAAACATAATGTTCAAAAACTGTCCCTCTTCTCGCAAATTCTGATCCCCAGATCGTGGAATACGAAGCCGACCAGAAGGGATACCGTCCGAAGATCACCTACGAAGGCGGCGACGAGCATCCCCACCACCATGACCATCCGCACCAGCACCACCACGAGGGACATGATGGCTACCCGCATGAGTCGCCCCACAATCAGCTGGGCTATCCGAAGGAGTCGCACCATGACTTCGAGCACGGTCACGAGAACGGGCACAGCCGAGCGGACCACGGCATTCACGATCACCACGATGGGCATCATGGTTACGATAGCAATGCTCATGAGCATCACGGCCACAATGGCAATGGGGGACACTCGCACGACAACGGACATCACCATCGGCGCCACTCTGGCGATGGACATGGGCATGGGCACGGACACAACGGAGGCAATAATGGTGGGGGACACAATGGGCACAACGGTAAACATCACCGTCGTGGTGCGAACGGAAACGGCGGCGTGGGCGGTCATCACAACAACGGAGGATCGGGACATCGTCACAATGGTTATCACTAGACCCTAGGAGCTCGATCGAGTGCAATTCGGCGCGACTTGGGAGGATTATCGAGGAAGAGGCTCAACCTATATGCTGCGAAGGCATTCATTTAATCACAATTAGTACAAATTAGCGTGTTTGTATATTTATTCCTTTTCAACGATGCATTTAACATTTATTCAAGCCAGTTCAATTACCAATTAACTTAGTAAAGAGTTGTAGTAGCGAAGAACAAAAAAAAATAGCAAACAACTTATTGTAATCTTAAGTAGATAGGAAACATACGCTTAAGAGCACGTGGTGCGAGAGAAGCCAACAAACACGATGCAATAAAGCACACAATCTCAGCAAGACGATCATCGAAAAAGAAACAAAACTCTTCAGGCCCACCACCACGCCGGCCAGGTCTCTTCCAGTAGTGGCCGCCGACGGCGGGTGGCATCGGCTTGAGGATTCGATGAATCGAAAAAATACCAACACCAAATCCGACTGCTTTTTTGATTCACCATAATCACGATCATCATCACCGTCGTTTGAAGTTGGCGTCGTTCACCGTCGATCGTCGTCGAGATCGAGATGTTATCAGGGCCAATTACCACCTTCGTGTTCCACGCCAAGAGTCGGCTGCATGCCGCCACCGACCGATTCGAAAATTGAATCGTTTTCGGTCGATTAGGAGTTTTTCGCTCATGCCGCGTTTTCCGTCATCGGTCGACGAGCTCCGTATGTTTTGTTTTTGCCGTTTTTCTTGCACCACTTGAGATCGGTATGTGAAGAGGAAATGAATAATTAGATGTTCTTTTGGAAGTCATATCTTGGAGTGATGAGTGCGAGGGGAAAAACAATAAAGAATTAATAAATTGATTGGGATGATCGTGAAGTGATTGTTCGTGATTGAGTGCAATATTGGCAGCAACAAAAAAAGGCAATCAATTATGGGTTGAATCGATGCGATGCTATGGCATTACACTTATGTGAGAAGAACACGCACTTCACGCCTATTTGGGAAGATTGGAGGATTTTGGCACGCCAAAACAAACGAGTTCATTGTTACAATTAAGACCGGATGGTTTGCTAATTATCTGCTTTGGATGGCCCGGCTGAAATGGATGGTTCAAGTTCATGTTCATTTTGAGCGCGTGAGAGTGAACCTTGTCCGAGTTTTGAATCAATTAGCCCTTGAAATTACTGCTGTACAATTATTGCAATTTCGTGCAGATTGATTTTTAAAATGTTATACAGGGCCTTTTTGTTTCCTTAGCTTTCTAGGTTCGTTCGATCGGACGCTGCCAATTGTTGCCAAAACGGGAAGGCACAGTGCTCAGTTTGCTATAGTTTATAGTTTATTTCTGATTTCTTAGCTAACAGAGAAGGGTATAGTGTAAGCGGGTAAATTACTTTTTGGCGTTCAAAATACCTTTTTTCCTCTTTTTCGAAGATCTGTTATAGAACAGTGCTATTTAAATGTCTGATCTAGCATTGCTGCATCCACGAAAATATATGTGCTCATGCACTTCCAAGTGCTCTCCTCTCGAACATGGAAGTTGCCTTCTCCGTGTTTTCTGTTCATCCAGGTCGAAAGAATCGGTATTAGTCTATGTGTATCGGTATCAGTCATTGCAAAGACTGGCTAAGGTATCTACAACAGGCGCGATGCGTAGCACACCTACGAAAGCCTTAGATGCGATACTAAATCTTATTCCACTACACCAATTTATGCAATTAGATGCTAAAAAGAGCACGCTAAGACTTAAGCTAACTAAAACCTTGTTTGAAGGGAACATTAAGGGACACCTACATATATTAAAACAAATACGAATCAATCCATTAGTTAAAGTCAGTAATGATTGGATGGAGACAACATTCAATTTTAGTCGACTGTTCAATGTGGTACAACCAGACCGCAGATCCACCCAAGATCAGTTGTATTCTTTACTGATGGATCAAAACAAAATGATAAAGTAGGAGCTGGTGTGACAGGTCCTGGTGTTAATATTTCAGTTTCTATGTGTGGATGGCCAACTGTTTTCAGGCTGAAATTCAAGCCATACTAGAATGCACTATTGTGTGTTTAAAGCGAAAATATAAACATGCAAGTCTATGCATCTTTTCTGATACCCAAGCAGCTTTGAATGCTTTAAAATCATTTACATGTACTTCCAAGTAAGTATGGGAATGCATTCAGTTACTTCAACAGTTGTCTAATAACAATACAGTAAATCTCTACTGGGGGCCAGGACACTGTGGAGTAGGAGGTAATGAAAAGGCTGATGAACTAGCCAGGCAAGGATCATCTAAACAATTTCTAGGACCTGAACCATTCTGTGGGGTCTCTCCAAGCTCCATCAAGATGGAATTAAGGAACTGGAAAAAGATGATGATAGATTGTAATTGGAATAAAACTATCACAGCCCGACAACCGAGAAAGCTTGCGATGCCAAATGCATCAAACACACAAAAACTCCTTAGCCTCTCAAAGAAAGACCTATGTACTTACATAGGACTGATTACAGGGCACTGTCCAGCCAAATATCATCTACGACTAATTAAAAAAGTTGATGATGATATTTGTCGGTTTTGTATCGAGGAAACAGAAATTTCTGAACATTTATTATGCAACTGTGCAGCACTTCTTAACAGAAGGGTAAAGTTCTTTGATAAGGGGCTACTACAGCCCATTGAAATATGGTGTTCATCTCCTAGTAAGGTAGTGCATTTCATACGACACATAATTCCTTGCTGGGAATATACGTAAAGTTAGGCGTTGATGGTTAATTTTAATACAGTCGTACCTCGATATAAAGCAACGTTACGTTATATCGAGTTACATTATATCGAAGACAACAAATCAAGAAGACTGGCAACCCTTCCATTTTCTCATACGAACGCTATGAGACAGGTACAATCGCGTCATCTGCCGCTCAAAGGTAAATGCTTCGAACGAATATGCTAGCAAAGATTACATCCTCATAAGACGGGTTTGTGTATTTGCTCATTTTTCTATGCGTTGCTTCCACCTTCACTCAAGCGCAGCGCCATTGTATGTGTTGCTTGGATTCTGGCAAAGTTGCCAGTCTTCTTGATTTGTTGTCTTCGGTTATATCGAAGCAAAAAAAAATATTTTTTTAAATCGAAAATTGTTTATCGTAACCCAAATATGACCCGATTTTTGTTTCTAGTCATCTAACAGGCATACAAAACCTTTCTTATATAATTTTGCCCAATTTTATTAGATATGTTCCCAAAAGCTTACATAAGAGGTATGAAAATGAAAAAAAAAGTACTAGAGTCTGTGCCTAGGGGCACAAACGGAAAGTTGATGAAGGACCGCGATTGGTTGATACACTTGTTTTTGTGCTTAGTTCTTTTCGTTGTTTAAAATCTATATCCTTAAAACTCTTTAAATATTTCAAATGGTGCCGTTTGTGTGAACATGGAATCGATACCAACAGTGAATGAACTGCGGCACCGGTGGTTTAGTGGTAAACGTGATTGCCTATCATCCCAAAAGGCCTGGGCTTCAATCCCAGTCGGTGCCTGTGGAGTATTTCTGAGGCATAAAATCTCTGATCACGCCTTCCTTCGCAAGGGAAGTAAAGCCGTTGGTCCCCGTTCCATGAGTTTATGGGTCAATAGGGTAGGGTTCAGGTGTGGGAGCTGGCTCCCTGGCGTCGGTAGCACTGGTATTCAGTACTGAAAACAAGATCGACGGAAAACAAATGATGGAAAAATGGTAAATCAACTTTTTAGTACAACCGCTGCATTGTTTTAATATTACCGATGAGTTTTCTAGCGGGGTCTCATAGCCTAGTCAGTAAAGGCACGGTATTACCAAGCCAGAGGCAGTGAGTTCGATTCCCGGTCCGGTCGAGGGAATCTTTCGGGTTGAAAATTTTCTCGACTTCCCTGGGCATACCCAAGTAACAATTCTAGAGCTGCTTAGCTATATTCAAAATTTATAAAGGTTTTATTGCAGCTGCAACCATTACCTACAGCTTTATGACGGTCATATACAAAGCAAGTAGTGAAACATTCTTATAGCTAGCTACAAAACCCCTATAAAGCTAATCAAAAAACCAACTGATGCTTATGCTATTTTCACTTATGAAAGGTTTTATGATTGCTTTGAAGTATAAAAAAAAGTAATATGAATTGCCCTTATAAAACCCAAAAATAAATCCTTTTGTTGCTTTATGAGTAAGCGCAATAAAACAAGTTGGCCATGAAATGGTTATTATAAAACAATTATAAGCATTCAGTTGCAACTTGTCAGAAATGTAAATAGGCGGTTTACATAGAAAAGAATCAAAACTTTCCGGTACTTTCAAGCGGAGCGCAAAGAATATCCACAAAATGGTTAGCATGAACATGAAAACATTTCGTGTATACGTATACGCGACGTAGTGTGCGTAAGAAAAACGTCAGCAATCTCTATAATTCTTTCGTTCTCGCTCGCATATACATGGGATGACACTGTCGATTATTGGTCGAAATGCAAAAAAGTTTTCACTTAATTTCTATTAGGAATGCACATAGTATTTTTCCAAAAACAAAAACAATGATTTTTACCTGAATATCACATAGCATTAGAAATTCTATATGAGAAATCATATAGATTTCATTGGACACATAACATTCATGTGATTTAGTGGTGCAATTTCCAATTATGGGATCACATGAAAGTTATGTGAAATTTACATGGATATTTTCCACTGGTTATGTGATTTATTTTATGAGTGTAGGACAAAAATCACGCATAACTTTTTATAAAGGTTAATGTACCATTCAAAACTTTTCCAAATGTTTGTAAAATTCATCGGTTGCACCGGTAGAATAGGAATATACATTTGCCCTCAAATAAAAAAATGAATTCAAGCTGAACATTGCATTAGGTCCTAAGTAACATTGACAGATTCTCTTCGTCGACTTTCTCTTTGCATCCCCACGGTCATGTAAAGACTTAAATTGCACAGTATGTTTCTTCAAAAAAGCTATTTATTTAATGTATTTTCATAAGAGAAAAATATAACATTAAATAGTTGTAACCAAAAAAACCGAAACAGAAAGAAAAAACCATATTTTCGACATTTTTTTCTTTAACTCCATATAACTTGGAACCAGTAGACTGTGGAAATTTAACGTCTTTGAAAGAGCTGTTCATTTTGTCAAGATAAACAACTTTGCCC